CTGCTGGCTACGTGGAATTTACTTCGAGTGGCAGGGTATTCTGCAGTTAAGCCGAAATACGTACCATATATAATAGAAAAAAGTACCATAAGGCAGTTCTGGCGCTCCACATAATGTTTCGCGTATCCACGACTAAGAATGCTTCCCTTAAGTTCTGATCAATAATTTATTCACCCCGTATGTCTCGTGACATTCCAATGAGGAATAAAAATCTCGAAATATCGCGTGAATCTTGTTTTTAAAAAGCAGCCGTTAAGAGCAATTGATCGGTGTTCTCTTGATGTCTTGACGGCTCACATAATGGAGCTAACATGGTTTTTGTGGATTTTCCTTTGGAGTGGAACATTTTTGGTCAGCCGTTGCCATATCGGCTTATTTACAGCTGAGTAAGTGTCAAATTTGCATATTCTGTCCCCCTAACAATAGTCGTTTATACGCTTCGCGTATCCACGACTAAAATGCTACTCTTAAGAACTGATCAATAATTTATTCACCATATATGTCTCGTGACATCAGTTCCAATAAGGAATCAAAATCTCGAAAACATAATCGCGTGAATCTTGTTTTTGAAAAGCAGCCGTCGAAAACAGTTAATTGGTGTTCTCTTGATGTCTCGCCGGCTCACATAATGGAGCTAACAACGTTTTTTTGGATTTTCTTTTGGAGTGGAATATGTTCGGGAGGTATGTGAAGTCTCTTTATGCTTTGCAATCATATCTACTCCATATTTCGCCTTTAAACATAGCCTCTTATTGATGCAAAAATACCCTGTCCAACAGCATCGATAAAGTTTGCTAAACTGTCTATACCAAGAGCAGAAAGACTTGTAGGAGGCCTTGTTTCCACTGATGTTTTTTTTTTAACTGCACATGCCTTGGCAGATCCCTGTTGTTGACTTAAATAGACACTGCTCCTCGACTACTTAGCAAACTTCCTCTGTTATGAAAACAAATTGCAAGGTTGTAGTTTGCGCCTCTCAACTTGATTCTTGTGCAAATAGATTGAGTTGTTTTTAATTTAAGGGAAACAAGGTCTCTTAGAATTAAAATATTCAGCTGTGGTAGTTTCCTTTTGTAATCGGGGGGAAAGATGATTGTACAGGGAAAAAACAATTCATATTAGCAATTTGCACGAGTATGTTTGCATTCAGCAAAGGTCAAATTTTTGAAGTTGGGTGAATAAAAATACCCTGTCTAACAGCATCGATAAAGTTTGGCTAAACTGTCTATACCAAGAGCAGAAAGACTCG